CTGAAAAACAGAAAAAAGATGGAAAAAATAAATAAACAGAGCCTCAGGGACCTGTGGTGTAGTATCAAACCTCTGATATTTGTGTCATCAAAGTCCCAGAAAGAGAGGAAATAGTGTTGGATAGAAAACATATTTGAAGAAATAGCAGCTGAAAACTCCCTAAATTTGGCAAAAGACAGACACAGATTCAAAAAGATCAGCAAACCCCAAAGAAAATAAACACAAAGAAATTCACACTACAATAAACTGCTGAAATCTAAAGACAAGAAATGTTGAAAGTAGCCAGACAAGAACAATACATTTACATCTGGGGGAGCAACAGTTCGAATCACTATAGATTTCTTATCAGAAACCATATAGACCAGAGGGGAGTGGAACATTTTTCAAGTGTTAAAAGAAAATAACTATTAACCCAAAATTCTATATATACTGAAAATATTTTTTAAGAATAAAAGCAAAATAAAATTTGCAGTTGAAGGAAAAGAGAATTTGCTGCCAGAAGTTCTGCTCTAAAGAAATACTTAAAGCAAATTCTTCATGTGGAAGGGAAATGTTACCAGAGGAACTTCAGACTTCAAAAAGAAACAAACAGTAACAGAAAGGGTAATGATAAGAGTATTTTTTTTCTCCTCTTAAGTTCTTTAAAATATGTGTGACATTTGAAAGCCAGTTTTCAGTGTCTGCAGATGTAATACCTAGGACAAGTACAACATAAGGTGAGAGGTAAAGGATGCTATATGTGGGATGGTTTTAACAGTTCTCTTGAAGTGGTAAAATATTAATTCTAAGTACACTGTAAAGAGCCAAGCATACATACTGTAATCTCTAGAGTAATCACTAAAAAAACTATACAGAGATATCTTTAAAAATTCAACAGAAAATTTAAAAAATACGAATTCAAATAATCCAAAAGGCAAAAAAGAGAACAGAATAAAAACAGAGGAAGTAAAAACAATTATTAAAGTGACAAACCCAAACATAACAATTATATTAAGTGTAAATAGTCTAAATATACTGATTAAAAGACAGAGAATGTGAAAATGGATTAAAAACCAAGACCCATCGATTTGCTATCTCCAAGAAACCCACTTTAAATATAACGATATAAGTAGGTTAAAAGTAGAAAATGATGGCTTCCCTGGTAGTGCAGCAGTTAAGAATCTGCCTACCAATGCAGGGGACACAGGTTCGAGCTCTGGTCCGGGAAGACCCCACATGCCATGGAGCAACTAAGCCTGTGCACCACAACTACTAAGCCCGCATGCCACAACCACTGAAGCCTATGCACCTAGAGCCCATGCTCCACAACAAGAGAAGCCACCACAATGAGAAGCCCGCGCACCGCTACGAAGAGTAGCCCCAACTCGCTGCAACCAGAGAAAGCCCGCACCCAGCAACAAAGACCCAACTCAGCCATAAATAAATAAATAAAAAGTAGAAAATGACATACCATGTAAACACTAATAAAAAGCTGCAGTAGCTGTATTCACAATGGACAAAGTAGACTGTGGAGCAAGGAAAATTACCAGGAATAAAAAGGGTCATTACATAATGATAAGTGAGTTAATTCATTAAGAAGACATAACAATCCTGGGACTTCCCTGGTGGCCCAGTGGGTAAGACTCTGTGCTCCCAATGCAGGGGACCCGGGTTCGATCCCTGATCAGGGAACTAGATCCCGCAGGCATGCTGCAACTAAGAGTTTGCCTGCTGCAACGAGGATCTCATGTGCTGCAAGTAAGACCCGGCACAGCCAAAATAAATAAATAAATAAATATTAAATTAAAAAAAGAAAAAGACATAATCCTAAATGTGTAAGCATCCACCTAACAAAAGAGCTTCAAAGTAAATGGAGCAAAACCAAACAGAACTGAAAGGAGAAATAAACTCACGATTATAACTAGAGATTTCAACACTCCTCTCTTGGTAATCAATAAAAGAAGAATACAGGAAATCATCCAGGATACAGATGAACTGAACAACACTATTAACCATCTGGATCTAAATGACATTTACAGAACACTCTACACAAAAACTGCACAATATATATTCTTTTCAAGTGTACCTGGGAAATTCACCAAAATAGAACATATCAAACCTTAATAAATTTTAAAAAGCTGAGATCATACAAAGTATGTTCCCTGACCATAATGCAATTAAACTAGAAATCATTATTAGACAGACAACTGTAAAATATCCCAGTATTTAGAAAGTAAAACACTTCTAAATAATTCATGAGTCAAAGACTAAGCTGCAAGGGAAATTAGAAAATATTTTGAACTGAAAGAGAATGAGCAATACATCAAAATTTGTGCGGTACACAAAATTTGTGGGGTCCTTCACAGAGGTAAATTTATAGCATTAAATACTAATACTTGACAAGAAAGGTCACAAGTCAACAATCCAAGTTTCTGCTTTAAGAAACTAGAAAAAGAGTAAAATAAAGCCAAAGCAAGCATCAGAAAAAAAGAGCAGATATCAATGAAATTGAAAGCAGAAAACAAAACAAACAAAATTAATGAAACGAAAATCTGGTTCTTTGAAATTGACAGTAAAATTGATAAACATCTAGCCAAACTGGCCAAAGAAAAAAAGACAACAGGCACAAATTATCAATATAAGGAATAAAGGCAATACCCACTATAGATCCCACAGACACAAAATTAAGGAATGATGTTGTTTGACAACTTAGATTAAATGGACCAATTGCTTAAAAGCTACCAACTACCAAAACTCACTCAAGGAGAAATCACAGCATGAAGCGTTCTGTAACTATACTCAAATAATTTAAAGACATTTTCTCTTTTAATATATATTTGCATTCATCTGGTGGCTTTACAATTCAAAAGTCTAATTCACATGTTTGCTAAAAAAATATACAAATTTCCACTGATAGTAACGCAAAAGAATACACACTGTGTTGTATTCAACTCAGTTTTTATCAGTACTTCTTGATATCTCATTAATGTGGATAGTATGTCCACTCTTAAAGGATCTCTGCTCATCAAAGTAAATCAAAGGTATTACTTTATACTGATATTTATATCAAGTGAATTATTAACTATAGCAGAAGAGCATTACTTGAATAAGTACTCAATGACATACATACTAATGTTTAAATCCTGCAAAGCAGGACACCTCATTTCAAACAACTGAAGTGATCCTTAAAAGTTGTGTAAAAATCAAGTATCTACTACTTACATGATATACTGAAAAGTACAGAAAAGTGCTAGAGGAGTATTATATATGAGACTGAACCATATGAAATTGCCAATTATCAAGTGGTTCAACCTAGAACAATGTAAGCATTCCTTGTTTTCTATATGATTCAGTGTTCTCAAGAGTTCTAGTCACTTCTACCAGAAAGGTATTACAGTGTTGGGGACTGAAGTTCATTTTACATTTACCAAACGTATCCTGGAGATGTTTCATGACGAAAGTCATTTGCAAAACTAGGATATGAACGTATATACGAGGAAAGGAGTACTGTACTTTACGTGGCTAGAGAAACTTTGTTTGACCTCCACTTTCCAGGAGTCTGCTATTATTAACTCTTAAAAAAAAATAAGCCCTGTTATTCAAAACGTGGATTCACTGTAGAGTAAGGATTAAGATCCACAAGGCTCAAGGTATGAAAAAGAGAGAATGCAACAAAATTACTAAGATCACATCATTCCTTTGCTCAAAACCCTTCAATATCTTATCTCACTGAGTCAAAGTTCTGTTCTCACTATGGCCTTTATCCATTTCCTGCTACTCACCTGCCTCCTTTACTCCAGCCCCCGTGGGCTTTTCTTGCTGTTCCTCAAACTTGCAGGTACACTCTTCTCCTCAGGGCCTTTGTACTAACTACTCCCTCTACCAGGAATGCTCTTCTCAAAGATATCCACACGACTCACCTCCTCACCTCCTTCGGGTCTGCTTAAATGTCATCTTCTCAAAATCGCCTTTTCTGACCGACCTATTAAAACAGTATCCCTAGGGACTTCTCTGGTGGCGCTCCCAATGCAGGGGGCCAGGGTTCAATCCCTGGTCCGGGAACTAGATCCCCCATGCATGCCACAACTAAGGAGCCCACCTGCTGCAACTAAGATCCAACACAACCAAATAAATAAGTAAATAAAATAAATAAAATAAAACAGTACCTCTACTACAAGACAAAAAATTTTTTTTTGGTTTATTGTCTGCCTTTCTCCAATAGAATATAAACTACAAGAGAGGCCTTTGTTTAATGCATTATTATATCCTCAGAGTCTAGAACAGCAGCACCTAGAATCTGCTGAACAAGATTGGCACAAAGACTGTATATATGCCTCCAATTAAAACTTCCCGCACAGATACTAAAAAAGAGGTAAGAAAACAGTTTGGAACCCCATGCGCTCTGTAACTTAGAACGAAACAACTACCCTCTAGAAGAAAATATTTTATTTTCAACAAAATATACTAACAAATGGCTGGATTCCCTAAAAACAAAACATTAATGCTAAGCGCACACATGCTGCAAGTCTGTTGGTACTGAATGCTTTGGTTTATCACCCAAGACTTGTGCTAAGTCATTTTCCTACGAACCAAGAAATTCTGGCTAAAGATACTTAAGAAAAAATAAAAGCGGGGTTAACCTATTAATGCTGTACAAGGATTAGGAAATACAGAATATACGAGTCCAAAGCTCACGGTACAGAATGAGAGACCAGAAATCGAAATTGGGAGTGTTTGCCCCCTAGAGACACCGAGAGAGACAAAGTCCACAAAGGACTGCACCCCTTTTCTTGGCGCTAGGCGTGGCATGAACACTCATTCCGGGGGTGCATGGAGTTTGGGACTGTGAGGCCTGTTTATTATTGGAGTGGTGTATCCGGGCCACACTCCTCTGCACACTTTCGCTCAGGAGAAAACAGAGTGCCGACTGCGCCTACCAGCTCCCAAAAAGGCTTGGGGGAGGGGTGATAAAGGTAGACCCCTCCCCTTCCCCAAGGCAAGCCCAGGGCCCGCAGGGCTCCCCAGTGTCCCGGCTCACCCGGCTCCCGGTTGATCTCGATGTCGAAGTGACACTGCGGCCGGTCCTGCGCCCCCATCGCGACCGAGGCGGCGGCAAGAGCTGGGAGAGACGGGGAGGAAAGCGGTCAGGGCGCGGGGCTAGGGCGGAGCCCGCGCCTCAGTCACCTCCCGCTGGCCTGGTGCGACAGCGCCCGAGGCCGAGACCAACTCCCTCTCACCCCAGGCCTCCCGGCCCCCATGGAGCGCGCACACACATGCAGGCTAGCTCTTCACCTGGCTGGCCTCCAGCCTGAGCTGCTCCCCGTGAGCAAAGAAGAAACCGTTGCCACCACGGCCGAAGCCCAACGCCACTAAGAGACCACCACCCCCGCCCCCTGGCCCGGCCTCCCAGTGCCACGCTAAACCCCGCGAGAGTCGGGACAAATACCGCGAGAGTACGGTCTCGAAGGCGGTGGGTAACCGAAGGGGGTGCGCTTACGTGGGCGTGCCTTGGAGCTCGAAGAGCCTCCAGCCCCGGCGCTCCTATTCCTGAGCTGGCCCTGTTTTGCCCCGCCCCTTTCCCCCCGTGTAAGTTGGAATCGGTCGCCCAATCTGGGAGACCCGGACGCGCCTGTGCTCTCTACGTTCTGTGGTCCTTACTCAATGGCTGTGTCTACGTATTTACAGATACCGGGCGGCTTCCCTGTTTCAGAATCTGTGAAACAGTTGGGAGAATGAGGTTGTTGAGGTTTAGTAGAGCGACAGAGCTTTGGTTTTCATTTTCTCAAGGAGTAGTTATGGCATTATCCCGTTAGACCATTTGTCTCACTTAAAAGGCCTATAGGCTGAACTGTGCGTTCGTCCGCGCTTTGGGTCCAGCGTCACTGGTATAGTTGTATTCAGGGCCGCTCTCCCTCTTTTGTGAAGTGCCAATTCAAGACCTTTGCCTTTATTTTAATCGCGTTCTTCGTCTTATAGAATGCAAGGGTCCTGGATACTAACATGTTGTTAGATGATATATGTATGTTCTGAATACAACTCTCTTGTTAGGTTTATGTAAGTGCGAATATTTTCTCCCAATCTGCGTCTTGTCTTTTGTTTTGAAAGTGGCTTGTGCAAAGCAGTTTTTAATTTTTGATTAAATCACTTGATCAGTTTTTTCTTTTATGGCTTGTGCTTCTTTGTGTAGGAAATCTCTGCCTACCCCAACCTCCAGAAGATTTCCTCCTACGTTTTCTTTTAGAAGTTTTGTAGCCCAACCTTACACCATAGGTGTAAGTCTATGATCTATTAGAATTTGTGGATGTGGGGTCAGGTAGAAGTTGAGGTTCATTTCTTTTCCCCATAGGTCTATACAGTAGTTCCACCACCATTTGTTGAAAAGACTTTTATCCATTGAATTACCTTGGCTTTGTGACCACATATGTGCGATTCTATTTCTGGACTCTATTTGTTACACTGACGTATCTTTAGGCTGGGGCCACACTGTTGGGTTGTAGCTGTTGTTTTCCATTATTTTCTTAAAATTGTAAAATATACATAAAATTATCTTTTAACTGTTTTTAAGCTTACAGTTCAGAGGCTGTTAACTACATTCACATTGTTGTGCAACCATCACCACCATCTATCCATACGACAATTTTCATCTTGTAAAACTAAAACTTTGGGGACTTCCCTGGTGGCGTGGTGGTTAAGAATCCAGCTGCCAATGCAGAGGACACAGGTTCGATCCCTGGTCCGGGAAGATCCCACATGCCGCGGAGCAACTAAGCCCGTGCACCACTCCTACTGAGCCTGCGCTCTAGAGCCTGCGAGCCACAACTACTGAGCCTGCATGCCACAACTCCTGAAGCCCGTGTGCCACAATTACTGGAGCTTGAGCACCTAGAGTCCGTGCTCTACAACAAGAGAAGCTACCGCAATGAGAAGATGGCACACCGCAAGGAAGAGTAGCCCCCGCTCGCTGCAACTAGAGAAAGCCCGTGTGCAGCAATGAAGACCCAAAGCAGCCAAAAATAAATAAATAAATAAAAAATTAAAAAAAAAACTAAACTAAAACTTGTTATCAATTAAACAATAACTCCTCATTCTCCCCTCTACCCAGGATCTGGAAGCCACTCTCTACTTTGTTTTTGTTTTACTTTATTGTGGTAAGAACACAACATGAGATCCACCCTCATTTTAAAAAAATTTTTGGCCATGTCATGCAGCATGTGGGATCTTAGTTCCCCAACCAGGGATCGAACCCACACCCTGTGCAGTGGACGTGCAGAGTCTTAACCACTAGATGGCCAGGTAAGTCCCGAGATCCACCCTCTTAACAGATTTTTAAGTGTTCAAGCTGTCTAATAAAGGGGGGCAGCTGCCATCCCACTCCAGCTCATGGTTGCCACATGGATCTGTAAGCCAGCATTGCTAGAAAGCCAGGCTTTTATAGGAAATCCTCTTGTTTTTAAAATATTAGCAACTAATTCAAAACTAAATACATTGCACAGCACCCACCATATCTGCTGATCAGATTAGGCCCATGAGCAGCCTACTTGGCCTGGAGTATGAGCACAAACCACATGAACAGTAGAGGAGGGAGGAGACCAATGATGGGTCAGAACCCTACAGATGGCAGAATGGGTGGGGGAGCAGGCTCCCTTCCAGACTTGAGAAGGCCTAGAAAGGGCCAGAGCCTTCAGCTAACACACAAAGCCAACACACTTGGATGTTTACCATGTGCCCAGCTCTCAACTGCATTATCTCCAACTCACAACGTCAGGAGGCGGATACTACTTTCATTATCCCCATTTTAGAGCTGAGGAAACAGAGCTTTCAGAGGTTGTGTTAGATCTGGGACTCAAAATGAGGTCTCTCTTCACTGTTTACATGTTATAGCCTCCCTGGGTTGCAACCCTTGACTCCAACAAAAGGTTTTAATTTGGGGTTCACAAGAATCTCTTTGCCTCATTTAACAGATAAGTCTCAAAGAGGGAAAGTTCTTTATAGAACAAAGCTAATAGAGGCAAAAAGAACAATAAAATAGAAAATCACCATTATATAATCCCTGAGGAAGTAACAGATCAAAGCTGGGTAGATCATAATTTAAGTGAAAGGCTATCAGGAACTTGATAATAAATCAGATTAAGTTATTTCCTGATGTGATGTGAAAGCAAGCACTTCCTATGATGTTTCTTGCCAAAAATATTAGAACCTGAGTCTGAATGAGCCTCTCTACCAGTTTATAGGAAAAGTGGGCGATTAGTGGGACAGATATAATGACACCACAGGGATACAACAGAAATGTGAAAAATTTTAGAGCAAATGACCTAGTTTTTCCAACAAATGGCAAAGAAAAGAAAAGGGAACTGTTAAGTATTTTTAGAGACTTAAGGGACATCAACAAAATGCAGGGTGTAAATCTTGTTTGGATCCTGATTCAGACACATCAACAAAAACACATTTTGTGGGAACAAAAGAAAATTGAACATCGTGGAATTCAGGGCATGCTACTCCAAAATATGGCACCTGGGCATATTGAATATTTCAAGCTGAAGGAATCTGAGAAATGGCAGATGCTGGAAGGACTCTCAGACCTTCTCCCATGAAACACGTCATGAGACCCTCATATTAGAAGTGTCCTCCCTACATCCAGAGGGACACAGATTTTGAACAAAAAGGCCTTACTAAGTTCCCTCCAGTTTACTACACCTAGCTCATAACCTTATGTCCTATCACATTTTTCCATGACTTTCTACTTTTCATCAAACTTACTATAAAAACACTCAGGTTTAACTGCTTCTTTGGGTCTTCATTTCCTTATGAAGGCTCCCATGTCATATAAAACATATTAAATAAATTTGTATGATTTTATTAATCTGTCTTTTGTTATAGAGGCCTAGCCAAGAACGTTAAAAGGATAGAAAGAAAAAGATATTCTTCCTCCCCTATCACATCTTCTATTAGTAGATGATGTTAGATAATAATTAAGAATTACAATTAATTGTGTTAGCAATGATAATGGTGTTGTCACATATATTTTTAAGTCTTCACACTTTTTCTCGAAAACCAGATGGAAGACTTATTACATGAAAATTTCTATACCTCATCAGTTTTTTGTGGAAAGGCAAGCTTTATTTCAAAGCAACCTGAAAAGAGCAGTCAGGGGGTCCACAACCACAAACTGGTAGGAGGGAACACACAGATACATGTCCATTGGCAGGGTCTCAGTCGGGAGTCTCGCCCAACACCTGCTCAGTTTCCTCCTCAGGTGGAAACTGAAAAGGTGGACTCGAAGATGGCCCTGATGTCCAAACACACTTATTTCAGGAAGGAGGACACCTGGAGTGAACTTAATTGAGCGAATCCGCTTCATTATTAAAATAAATATTTATTCTCTCTGAGGATACGGTTAATTTAGTAGCTTTCTTTGCATTTTCACATTTTTAAAAGAGCTACAGAGGTTTCATTCACCTTCAAAGCAGGTGAGTTGGTAAGGATCCTGCCTCCATTTCCTAGGAAATAGATTACATTTGATTACTCCTCACAACAGCCAACTGGAAGATTATTCCATCGCTTTTGAAGCACTGGTTGGGTTGGCATCTGCGATGGTGGCCAAATAAATGAGATTTCTGTGTAACACATGCTGGTACCTATGGGTAAAAAACAGGTAAAAATTAGACGTTTGCTTTTACTGAACATGAACAAAAAACTGGAAAAGAATTTATCCACCCTAGTGAATGGCTCATCCACTGACTGGATCACTCAGTGCTGTCAACCTTCTTATTTAACATATTGAAGGAAAATATAACCAGAATCTTACCTGTTCTCACTTCTCACTTCCATAGCTACCTCTCTAGGCCAAGCCACTATCACTTCTTGCTTGGACTACTGGAGCAGTCTCCTAACCTGTCTCCCTGCTCTACCTTTGCACCCCAACTCTAATTATCCGCATAGCAGCCTGAGTGATCACTGTACAATTTAGGTCAAGACCATGTCATACCTCTGTTCAAAACCCTCCAAAGGCTCCCATCTCATTATGAGTAAAGCTAAGCCCTTATGGCCTATAAGGCCCTATATGATCAGGGCCTCTAGTTACCCTCTCTGATCTCATCTCCTACCACTTTCCCTTTACTCACCGAGTTCTGGCCAGAGTGGCCT